CGGGTGTACACCGCGTTCCAGGACTGCCTCTTCGAAATGATGATGCTGGTGGAGAGCGTCATCCTGAAGAAGCTGGAGGGGCTTTCCGAGTGCGACGTCAGCCCCCTCCACATCCGGAGGAGCACCGAGAAGTTCCTTCTCTTCCTGAAGGAGCACTTCGATGAACTCTTCGGTAAAATGGAAGAAATGCTTCTGCAGCTGGTGCTGAACATCCCGAAGAACGTGCTCCTTCCCGAGGACAAGGTCCACAAGCAGTATCCCTACAGCAAAGAGCAGTTCCAGGCGCTTCAGGATGAGATCCATCAGCTGCAGGAGCAGTACCGGGCTGAGGTGTCCGCGGGGCAGGCGCTGCGGGCGGAGCTGGAGGAGCAGAAGGTTGTTCAGGCAGAGCTTGAGAAGATAATGCAGTGTTCTGATGGGCTGGAGAATATCTGCAGGGAACACTGGAATTGCAGCTTCAGAGAGAGCTTTGCTTTCCTGGCACCCAACCTTAAGAAACTGCAAGATAAGCTGAAAGATGTTGAAGAGAAAAGCAAAAAAATAAAGAAGCTTGATACTGTAAAATGAGAGTGTGAAAAGGCAACAAAAACCATTTGGGCAGCTTGCTTAAAATGATAGGAGCTTGTCTTTGCAGGAGCATCTCCCATAGTCCGTGCCCCTCTAACCCTGCCAGGATCTAGACTGTTGAACTAAGTGTGTTTGCACCTACTTAGCACCAACCCAGGGAAGCAGGGGGAGAAAAAAGTCCTGGATAACTTGGCTCTGAAGGCACCTTCCTGACCTTACAAACATTAACTGAACACAACACAGCGTTGGTTTAACTCAGGGGTTACTGAAGAAGAAACGAACGTCTGAGCAAGAGCTACAGGAATATGTAAGTGACTTTGCAGCCTGACACCAGCTCAGGGAGCCAGTGCCTTAGTGAAGATGGTGTGTCTTGCTAAGGCCAAGGTGCTGTCGCTGCCTTTTAAAGGCCAAGAACTAGGAATTGTGTTGTTTTCTATGTGTATAGTTTGTTTGGTTTAACTTTCGTTGTCCAGTGGCCTTTTTCTACTAAATAACAAAGCTAATTTCATTAGTGTTTAATCAGATTCTCCTGTAAAAGCGTTGTGAAAATGGACTCACAGGCTTGAGGTCATTGAAGCTGCTTAAGCTTATTCCAGCTGCACTTAATTCAAAGTACATCACAGTCTGTGGGCATCTTCCCACTGGCCTCAGCAGGTTTTGAGCCTCCTGTACAGACCTGTCATCAAATATCCGTGCTGAGCTCTCCTTTTCTAGCAGAGATGTTTGACAGACATGAAACTCGTGGATAATTTAGAAGTTACTGCGATAACAAACACACATTAAAAGCATGAATTCACTTTGCAATTCTGGGTTTTTTTTCCTGACTTCTGAAGACTTTACACAGAATCAGCTTGGTAAAAACAGTATCTTTAAGTATATATTGTCTTGATGTGTGGTTGGGGTCTGTGGGATTCAGTGGCCAGCCCTGAAATGCTCCCAAAGGAAACTGATCTCTGATGCTGAGCTCTAGACTCCTTCAGTGAATGTTTGTTGAGGTGGAGGCTCAGGTTCAGGGGTAGGAAAAGGAGGAAATAGAACCCACAAGCTCTTCTCTTGTGAAGAGCTACAAGGAAGAACTCGACAACGGCGGTGAAATGCTCCAGCACTGCCTGTCCTCCGGGGCATGGTTCAGTGTCCGAACCTCAACCTGTCACGATGTAAGTCCTCAAGGTGATTGGTGTCCTCTATTAGAACTGAAGAGGAGGAACAAGAGGTGTGAAAGGCGGTTTATTTCAGCTAAACAAACACCATTTAGCTGAAATAAATGAGAGAGCAGCTCGGTGAGGACCTTTGCCAGGAGCCCTCTGGAAACGGCTTCTGAAACTCAACTGCTGTTAAAGCCCTGTAACCCAACTTCTCCTCTTCATTTTTGGTCCTAAACTCACTTTTAAGAATCAAGGTCTTTAACTGTAGGGGGGTGGCTACATGGAGAAGGATGTTGCTGAATATATTCCCTCACAAAAAGTAACAACACGTCTCACCAGGAGATCCAGTGTGTTTCTGTAGCAGGATATTGAGGAACAATTGCTTGGTGGGAGGGAATAACACCAGTTTTTTAAATGCTTACCTGTGAAATTCAGATAAGCATTAAAAGTATATGTAACAGATCCAAAAGTACTTGTACACATGTATTAAGTAACACTTGCTTTCAGTTAAATGGTGAATGAAGCAGACAGCCACAGAGGTTTCACCAGTGAGGGGGTGACACTCACCTTGCCTGATGCCAACATGATGGGATGAAACTGGAAACACTGTCACAGCACAGGATCAGCACCACTGCAGGAAACACTTTGTCCCCATCACTGATCCCGACGTGCTGCTGGCCAGGCTGTGCTGGCAGCAGAGGGCACCAGGAGACCAGCCCAGCGCTTCCCTCGCAGAAAAGCTGGATTATTCCCCTGTAACTTTCCTGTGCACCAGGAATTATCCAGTGTCTCCTCAGGTAAGGATATTAGATATCAGATAAGGAGAGCCTCAGATTTTATGAAGAAGCTCTTCCCTGTGAGGGTGCTGAGGCGCTGGCACAGGGTGCCCAGAGAAGCTGTGGCTGCCCCATCCCTGGCAGTGTTCAAGGCCAGGTTGGACACAGGGGCTTGGAGCAACCTGCTCTAGTGGAAGGTGTCCCTGCCCGGGGCAGGGGTTGGAGCTGGAGGAGCTTTAAGGTCCCTTTAATCCAAACCAGTCTGGGATTCTCTGATTCTTTAAATCAGTTGTTTCATATAGTAAGTATAAGTAAATCTGATATCAACCATTCAGCCTCCACGGTGACAGAGCTGCTCAAGGAGCACGGTCTCTGGCAGGGCTGTACCCCCTCGTGTGAACACCCCTTCCTACCTGCAAACACTCCACTCCGCTCTGCATTGGGCTGCCTGGATCCCAAATTGCTAGGGAAGCTCCTGGAGCCTGGACAATCCCCCCGACTGACCTCAGACACTCACAGTCACAGCATCCAGTGAGGCCCCACGGTTTTCCTTCAGCTTCAGCTGCTGGTTCCCACAGAACTAAAGGGACATTCCCATCCCTGATGCTAGTGAGCAGCTCGACATACCCCGACTCCATCCTCAGTGCTGCTCTGTCCATCCTTGTCCCATTCTCCATGGGTTCCCCTCCCTCGTGGAGGCTGATCCAGCGGGTGAGCAGCGACGGCCACAGCACTTGTCCCATCAGTGACAGTGGTGTGGGTGCAAGGCAGGCAGCGGCAGGGTGGCACCGAGCTGCTGCAGGGGCAGGACCTGGCACTGGCTGTTAAAGAAAGGGGAGAACTTCCACGTGGTTGGGTTTAATGCTCATTTTCTCCAAGTGGTTGCACGGAGCTGGAAGATGTGAAGAGCCCCAGGCTGGAAGCGAGGTACTTCATACAACCCAATGTAAAAGAATATAACCAGCTATTGTGAAACATTACCGAGAGCCGTCTGCAGGGGGAAAACGGCCTCGGTGGTTCAGCAAGACCCCAGCGGCAGAGCTGAGGTCTAAGGGGATTTCTTCCCAGGATATCACGCACTCCTGGTCTGGGACATGCAGGAGTGCTGAGGCTCCTTGGAGCTGGGGGTGTCCCAGCAGCCAGATAATGCCATCAGGATGGCAAAAAGCTTCGAGTCCCTCTGTGGCCACTGGGACGATGATGTGTTCAGCAGTGGGAAAGGAGCCAGCACAACGTCCCAGGGGTGGTGGTGGCCCCCAAAAAGCCCTGCAAACGCCGGGGACTTCAGTTCTCAATGCAAGGGGGAAACAGTAAGTACAATTGGTTTTGGCATCACGCACAGCCAATGGGAGCCCCGGGGCCGGGCTGTGCAGCCCTCCTCAGTGTATGCACCGAATGAGGATGTAATTAGCAGCTGTTAATAAACCCATACCCGGCCAAGTGCCAGCCTGGGGCTGGGGAGGAGGGGGGGTTCCATATGCCTCCTCATTAAAAGCTTTAATTACAGACAGGAAATGCTGATGGCAGCCACAGGCTTTAATTGCTTCACCTCAAGCTGGCGGTGGGTCAGGTTTGGGCTGCTGGCCCCATCCTCACCCTGAAGCAGGGCTGAAGGGACCAAAGGGGCAGGGAGGGGATGCTCACACAACAACATCCCATTATGATGAAATCCCCCTCCCTGTTATGCCGAAAAATGTTCTTTCACAGGGATTTTGGCTGGCTCAGACTAAGCAAGAGCATCCCCCTTCCAAAAGAGCCCTAAGAAACCTCCTCTGCCATAAACCACAGAGATTGACAGGCAGGGAGACTGCGATGCACCACGGGCGAGGCGAGTTATCCCGGATGGTGTGAGCTCTGCCTTGATGTGTTTGCACATCACACCCAGGATGGGAGAGGAAGCTCCAAGTGCCTTGGTGGGATTCATGGAAAGCTGTCCCGGAGCTGCCTCCCCCCCTGCCCCAGCTCTGGCATTAAAATTAATGGGGCACAGAAAATGGGCTTTCAGGTCACATCAGTGGCAAAACATTGATTTACTCAAGCGAAGGAACTCGGTCAGGGCTTGGTTGCTGATGCCTCCTGGCCCTGTTTTCTGGACCTCCCTGGAAACTGCTGTAGGAAAGATCGCAGTAAATGGCTTTTTCCTACTGAAGAGGAAGGAAAAACCTGGAAAAGTTTGGCTAGAAAGGGATCACTTTCACATGTAAAATCTGTGTTCCCTCCGCTAATTAAACCATAGGAAATAGAGTGTGATCAACCAACCTCTGCCAGAGGGAAGCCTTGGAGGCAGCTGTGCATGGTGTGGAGCAGCACGGAGCCACAAACCCCACAAATCATGGTTCAGAAGCTGGGCTAGCTCTGCCTTGGCTGTAACTAAGGACTCAGGATTCTGCTTTAAATCCACCACCCCAAAACACAGGCAGCAACTGCTTACCAGCACCCAAACCTGTGGCGTGTAAGGACACGCATCTAACGTCAGCCCCAGCAGAAGCATCTGCCATCGTTTGTGGGAAATCACTGTGGGAAGTTTAATTTCAGCCTGAAAAGAGAAAGAGTAATAAACTCAGCCAATGAACTAGAGAAATAATGTCAGGGCAGCTCCTTTGGAGCCGGTATCCTCACTGTGTGTCCTCACCCGTGAGCCTGCTGCTGGGGGGTTGTTACCTCTCATGTCCTTGTGGAATGGGAATTCTCCCACTGCTTTGTCTCGCTTCTCCCTCCGGAGCTGTTATTACTCCTACTTATACAGCTCAGAATGTTATTCCCTCCTGTCACCTTAATTTCTAATAATTAGTATTTGGTATAATGCTACAGCAGAAGTCAGCTCTTAATGAATATTATAATAAGCACTAAATTATAATTTACTGCTCAAGAAATCCATGTTGAAACGCAGCCCATTTAAAAGAAAATGAGGGGGAAGCAGCTTTCAAGCCATTTACGTGGCTGGGTCAAATCCCAACTCAAGTCCCCAGCGAGACCCCAAAACAACCATAATCTGTGAAGGCATTTCATTGCCTGCGCCAAGTGTTGGGGCTGGATGTGACCCACCGAGGTGGGACCAGGACGCTGCATCCCCATGTTA